AATGCTCCCTAGAAACCAACGCGCCAGTGCTCCCTGAACATCCCTGAACATGACGATGCCAAGATAAAGATGTCTTCCATTGTGCTGTAGCTTTTTCAGAATCCAACCCTTCTTTTGGCTGCTTTCCGTTCAGACTTGTAAACGGTTTGTTGGTAATTGGTAATGGTCTTAGTGAACAGCCTGTGGACTTGTGAGGGCAGGCAGATTAGACGCTAGTGCCTTAAATCTTCTTTATCCCTTCTCTTAAAATTTTTTGCTCGTTCCCTTTGGATGGTATTTTGCAGGCAGCAATTGAATCTCTCATCTGGAGCCGTCCACGGCGTGCGAACGCCTGCTTTGATCATTTAAATTGTCAGAATGCTATATGTAATACTTAATATCAATATATAGTATGCAGTATTATTGAGGCTACAATGGCAATCGAAACGACGCTATACAACATAAATCGACCATTGCTGGAAAATAAAGATGTTAGACGTCAGTCCGTTTGGGCGATAGGCTACTACTGTTAGACATCAGTCCGTACTTCAAATTTCTTCTCAATGCTTTGAATTTCTTCTCAAGGTTTGAAATCCCAGTTTGAAATAGATATTGTGGTGGAGTGTAGCAGCTGTATCGCTTGAGCTTTAAGCATCTACTGCTTTGGGGAAACTAGCTGCTTTGGACGACGACATCTACGTCAACTAAAAGCCACCACGGTAGCAAGCTTGTGAGATTTTCTGGGATAGACAGCGTCTAATTTGTGATGGATCTCATTAAAGCGATTCCCCTTCAAATGGAGCCCCATACAGCCTTTTTTTCAGGTTTGTTTAAAAAAAGTTTTGCAAATAGTTTTCCAAAAAATAAACAGTTTTCTGCCCCCAATGTCGACCCTTATGTTAGCACACTGTTAGATAAGACAAGAAATGATCCGCAGTATTTTGTGAACTCATCATATCTAATATTTGATACGGGACGGAAGGAGGTTGACTCTAACTCGTGTTTTCCTCTACACCCTCAGAAATGATATCGGACTTCGTTAACTGGGCCGCATCACGTTCTGGGTGAACTTGCTATACTCGTTGTCATGTGTGCCTTTTACGTTTTCACTAATCAACATGATATCTTACTAACGACCAGCACAAACGACAAACTATTAATAAAATTAACAGAACATAGATTATGAGCTACGGAGGAAGACTCGGTTACACTGCTGTTGTTGATCACCTCAAACACTCAGGTAACATGACACTAAATCGAAATTGATCTCATTCAAGAGGGACCGTTGCTTTAAGAGGATGCTATTGCCGCAGCTTCCGTAAAGTGGTCTCTTGCTGTCTACTGGCGGAAAAAGCAAGTGCTTGCAAACCGTAAGTGTTTGACAGCTACAAAAGCAGATAGGGGACAGCAGTGACCGCGCTCGGCTGT